CGAATCAGACCAGGAAATCGGATTTTCAGCCGGGCGGCCATGGGCCTACCTAAAGCTGCACTATCAGCAGGGGTTCTGAACCAGGGGTGCGTCTGTGTCTCAGGACATTTGGCGGTGCTGGGAGACATTCTGGGTTTGGTGGATGGAGGTGCTACCGACACCTGCTGGGTGGAGACCAGGGATGCTGCCACCCATCCTGCAATGCACAGGGCAGCCCCACCGCACAGAATGATCCGAGCAGAAATGCTCGTAGTGCCGAGATAGGGTGAGGAAGCCTGCCAGGGAAGCATGGGGGAACAGAGGTTGGGGGAACGGCAGCGGGATCTGCCCTGACGGGCAAGCTGAGAGCGGGGCTGGTCCCTGAAGGGTGCAGAGGGTTTTTCAGGGAGAGACCGTTGTTGCGGGGGGGAGCCAAGGATGGAGGGGTGAGGAGCAGATCTCCAGGTAACTGCTTTGCTTTTCATTCTATATGTGGGAAAGGCGATATTGGTTCTAAACAAAAATCCACATCAAGCAAAACAGGCCTGCACTGGAGACGGCAACCAGAATCCTCGCGTAGTGCGCTGAGGCCATCGCCGACTGTCGTGGGAGGCCAGCATCTGCCTTCACCATCACGCTTTGTTGGTCAGTCGAATGGAAGGGGAAGATGCAGTTGTGTAGTGGGGTGGAAGCCACAACTCTGCAGTTTCTCATTTCCAACCTGACTTCATGGTGCCCAGGGTCCGAGTGCCTCTTAGGGTCTAGTTCTCATTCTCTGCCTTGGAGAGCCCATGGCTGGGTGGCTGCTGGGTCTCACAGAGAGGCATCCTCTGGCTCAGGGTAGAGTGTCCCAGACGTCTTGTGCCTTTCAACATTGTGTCGTTGATCTTGGCATTCAAGAACTTGGCAACTAATGGAGCTACGGCATATTTTTTGGTCTCACTGATAAGGTTTGATTAAAAGATAATGGAAACAAAGACAAAGAAACAGGAAGTGTGCTGGGTGATTGTCATAGCTGTCAGGTTACACTGGTCACTGAAAAAAATTCTGCTCATCCAAGTGGCCTGGAGTGAATTGATGCTTTGGCCATTTGGAGGTGAAATCCATGTAGGTGCAACTCTTTTTTTAAAAAAAAATTAATAATTGTGGTAAAATATACATAAAATTTACTATGTTACCAATGTTTAAGTGTATAGTTTAGTGGTATTAAGTACATTCACATTGTTGTGCAACCATCACCCCCATCCATCTTGCAAAACTGAAACCGATTCCTCCAGCCCCTGGCAAACAACATTCTACTTTGTGTCTCTATGAATTTGAGTCCTTTAGGTACCTCATATAAATGGAATCATACAATAGTTGTCTTTTTGTTACTGGCTTATTTCACTTAGTATGATGTCCCCAGGGTTCATCTGTATTGTAACATGTGGCAGGATTGCCTTCCTTTCAAAGGCTGAATAATATTCCATTGTGTGTACAGACCACGTTTTGTCTGTCCATTCAGGCATCCATTGATGGACACTTGGGTTGTTGCCACCGTTTTGGTTATTGTGAGCAATGCTGCTCTGAGCATGGGTGTACAGGTATTTCTTCAACTCTTTTTTGAACCAGAAACATATCCAGGATGAAGGCAGCTCATTTTCTGTTGAGATCGTGGCTTTGGGCAAGGGGGGTAGAGAGAGTAAACGCCCCGTGGACCTGCGGGAACCTCACAGAGCATTAGGAAGGACCAGAGTGCTGTGCCAGCCCTTTCACGTTCAGTTGTGACTGGAGTCACGCAACCTTGTGGGCCTGGGTTCACTCGTGTCAGGTGGAGACAGCAGCCTGTCTTCCCTCCCTGGCAGTGCATCTGTGGAGATACACGGTCTTCTCCGGAGAAAGTAGCGTCTGGAAGTGAAAGTCCCTCAAATTGGGGACAATAATAATATATTGTACATAATAAATATATAATGAAAACATTGTAGGTGTAAAAATATTGATTTATTTAGTCAATAAATATTTGTTAGGTGCTTATCCTTAGTAGCCCCGAGGCCTGGGGCTACTAATATAG